ACCAATATCATTACTGATCTGAAAGATCAGGGGTTGATCAGGGGTTATGAGCTGGATAAAGACTTTTAAATTAGTTTGCTGCATTTTGTTAAAATAGGAACTCAAATTTTTAATTATTAACGTTTTTATTACAGTGTCTGAGATAGGAAATATGATAATCTGTGTCTAAGGTATAGGATATCAGTGAAAGATCTTCAGTTTAGTATTTTTATGTCTTAGAAGGTCCTCATGAGGGAGTAATAGTCTTTGCATATGTCCAACAATACAGAGAACTTCCACGTATCATACGTTTTGCCGTTCGTTTCTTTTTAACAGGCTGTAATGATAAAACATCTTTCATGTGAGGAACGTTGAAAGAGGAAAATGGCTGTAGAGTTCTAACTGTATGGCAATGGCTGGCTTATAAACTTCTCTAAAGTTAAAGAGCTAATCGTAGTCACGAAGGCTGTGTATTTGTCTGTGTCATTCTTCACACTGAGGCAAGAACTGAATGTTTTTCTTCAGGATTTAATTATCAGCTGCCCGACAGGCTCAGCACAAAATTGTCAGAATGGCCATATCTTGAGAAAAGCACATTCTATTGTTTTCCCTACCTCCCCACTATTGTTCTGGAGAAGGCAAAGTGATTATTGTGGACTTTATTTGCAGCTGTGGGACCTAAACTTGCACTAATTTATCTCTTGAGCAAAAGATGGCCTCTGATTAAAAGTTCTTAGTTGTCTAACCTGACACACAATGTGCAGTTTATCCAAGAATGTGCAGCGAAACATAACCAAAGAAGGACATTGTCATAATGTCAAAGCAGCAATAAACTGGTGCAAATGAGATTTTGTGATAAAACAAAAAAATGTCTAAAGTGTGGAAAGATATACCCTGGACACTTTAACACAGTGACTTAAGGCTGCTGGTGTCTTTCTAGGGTAATTTTCCTTCTTTTATAGTGAATCTTTCTTCTTTTAATAGAGAGTTACACCAGAGTTTGGTGGGAGACCACTTCTTCACCTTTTATATTACGGTTTGTCAGTGTTGAGGGACAGGAAAGAGGGAAAGAGAGAAAGAAAGAGAGAAAAGGATGCCATGAGATAAACGTCCATGGCCAGATTTTAACCAGGGATGTCACAGTCATATGGTAAGTCTAAGAGTGTGGGCCTACCAAGATGTCCTGATAAGATAACATTTATAGTTCATCGGGGTAGAACCTTTATTTCTAAAACTCCTTTCCTGTGTGCAGCAGTCAAGCAGCTTTAACAGGACTACCTGTATCTCAGAATTAGAGATTTTAGTCTTTATATTTCTAACTTCCTACCAGATTTCATATTTCTGGCTCTGGCCGCTTGTTTTATTCATGATTACAAAAGGTGGAATTTCTCCATGTATTATTATGTATTTTTTAATCCATTATATATATATATATATTATATATATATATATAAATTATATTATATATATGATAACTATTATATATATATAGTATATATATATATATAATATTATATATATATATACAGTCACAGTCGCAACTATATGGAGATGATTTGACCCAGTTAGGTTAACTGACAACCTGTGTAATGAAATTTATAGAGTTAAATAAATGCAGCGTCTCTTACCAACCACCTAACAAGTCAATGTGGTGTATGTAATAACCTAAAAGTCTCCTTACTTCATTACAAAAAAGTCAGCTAGTGTTGCTTATGTAGATATTTTTCAGATGTGGAATCATATGTCACATTTTGTCAAATATTTAATGTCCATGTTTCATTTAAACAAGGACATGCACAAGGAATTTTAGCCTTACAGAAAAGGGAGTACAAAATACAAAGGAAGACAATAAAAGAACCTAAAAAAAAATTTTATTCAACTTTTTCATGCTGTGAGCACCACAAACACATATTGTATCCAATGTATCGGGAGCATGCAAAATGATAACTGATCTCTATGACTTCATACCAGAAGAGATTTTAGAAAAAATATTATAATATTATTGTAATTTAGGTGACTGACCCTTAATATCAGTGCAGTTAATGAGAAGTGGCAGAATCAAATGAAA